GCTATATTCTAGCTTCATTCTTTTATAACTTACTTATACCTTGCTGATCAGTGAACCATTATTAACGCAGGTGATCTCCGTGGGGGCTTGCCAATTCCTGAATCCTCTCACGTGGGTAACACATTTAATGTATCACTAAATTATTGCTCAATTACAATTAAATAATTTAGTTTCTTGATGGTTATCTGAAGTTCGCCTGGTTATCGGCCTACGATTCATTTTAATTTGATAGAAAATTACATTGTCTTCTTATGTGCATTTCAGTCATGGGCATTTCGAGAATGACATTTGTTCTGCGTGACGAACAAAACAAATGGAATTTTCTGGAGTTGATATTTATTTTGTCCAAGTTATGGGAGAGCCTGAACCAGAGTTCAACTTTAATAAGCTTCTATTTTCTTGAATAACTATTTCTGTTCAATACTTTTTTGCTTACTTTGTACCTACGGAGTATATAATATTATGAAAATTAGAATGTTTAGGAAAATGGTAATAGCCGATGAAGAAAATCACCCTTGATATTTTCACGGAAGCGTACTCTTGGTGAGATGGTTGTGGGAGTAGTGTTCTTTATGCAAGAAACGTTTTCTTTGTAAATCTTTCCCTCGTTTATCCGTTTCTCCGTTTATGACCATATTAGCGCAAAAAATTTACCCATGATTTTCCATAAAATGTAAATTTCTCAACTTTTCTGAAGGCCCAAGGTCAAGTGATTTGAAACTGAAGCTTCATCAAACCCATCGAACATTTCCAATTCTTTTTTCAAAGATATTTTCAAGTCTTTTTTCAATTTTTCTCAGAGAGCTAAGTGTGCTTACAAAATATGATGTAGATCCGATTTTAATGAAAACCACCAAAATTTCGAAAATTGCAAAAGCTCGGATTTAGTCAATTCTTTCCTTAAAAGCGTTCTAAAGCTACTAGATAATTCTTGCGAGTGAAATTGCCGTACCAACAATTTACTAAATGAGACTGAGCTGTCGTAACTCCATACTGTGCTTTTATCGCTCCAAGTGCTAGAAGCAAGATTGCTTGTGTATATTTGAGTTATCAAAGGAGAAAGTTCCATTATAAGAATTCAAATCTTCATACCTTACATACTAATTTGATCCATTTTCTTCATTCGGCTAAAACATAGAACACAACTATACATATGAAACAATTTGCATTTTTGGAAAAACTGCGAAGACGACCCAAAATTTCTTAAATACATTTAAGTACGAAAACAAATTTATTTCGGTTCAAAGAGACTCCAATAACAGACAAGAATAAACTCATTCCATGTATGGCTTTTTCAAATAGCTGTCATTTACGGGTTTGAATCAATTCATGACAATTTTTTACCTAAACAAGATTTTCTTAAACACAGTATCTATTCTTTTCTTTGAACACTTTTTACGGATTGATCATAATCTACTGAATCACACGATATAAGCCCCAGTTTAATTAAAATCTCTTTAACAAATAACAGGGTCATATGCCACAATGTGGTAGTCGCGACAGTCTCGGAAGGACATTTTATTCAGTTTGCTCTCGTTTAGAAGAAGCGCAACGAGTCGAATTTTATAACGCCCGCTGTTACCCAAACGGTCTGATACTGCACGTAGTTACACTCTAAACACGGATTCAGGATTTGAAGGTCAGGCTTCTTCTCCGAACACTAGTGTATGTTCAGGGGATAAGGGGAAGAAATACGATTCTGATATCAGTTGATTTGGGAAACCAGAATGCTCACTTCAAAATACTGAAACCTGATCACTTCAAAATACTGAAACCTGATCACTCGTTCCATATTTACATGCCTTGACTTCCAGATTTCCTGCCTTACAGCATTCGTAAACTCTTGCTTCCCTGGGTCCGAATGATTTTTGCTAACTGCTTGGCTTCCTGCTTACTTATGAGAGTGACTTTTTGCCACTCCGACGGGTCCTGCCCTTGGGTCCAACCAGATTATGAACTACTGTTACTTTTCTTTTTATTTGTTCATTCGCTTTTGCCCGAATGGGTTTTTTGTTGTTTAAAAAATGTAAACTTACATTATATTTACGAAAATGCATAGCTATTAAACACGTACTTATAATTTGTTTGTCCCATTTGCCAAATTTTAGAATAGTTTTTAGATTCTACTGAGAAACATTACAACACTGTTCACCGAAAGAAGCTTCTTTCAAGTGTTTATAATTTTGACAGTAGTTTTTCTTACTTTACACACATTCATATTTTATGATTTATTATTCTTTTTTCAGTTGTGTAGAGAAAATCAATAGGCAGAAGTAAATACCTTTGTTTGCATATGTTGTTTATGCAAAAGTAATAACCACGTTAAGATAATCTTTCATATTTTTATTCATAAATATCCTTTCAATTTTTTTGTTATATTTGCCAGGTCATTTGAAGCGACGATATAGATGGTTTTGAATAATCTTTTTTCAAATGTGAATATTAAAAAACACGTTACTATCGTATTATTACAATTTTGAGATTATTTCGACCCGTCGGATTGAACGCGCTGCGTTCTCGAGGGCATTTCGGCCCTCCCTCTGGCGACCTGGACTGCGCCTACGCTCACGCGCCGGCGCTCATATTTGCATTTGTATTTAGACATTAGAGGTCACGTAAAGGGCAATTGGTCTGATTGCCATTAGATCCAAGAGCTCTTAGTCGGTCACCTAATCAGTAGGGCCTGTATAATTATTTACCAAAAATTGGGAAAATAGGTACATATAAAATATGTACATATGCATATAATATACAGAAATATGTACTGAAATGTAAGAAGTATGTATCATCAAATTAATTCTTTTGCATTAAAATACTTTTATCTTTGGATACATTGTTCTGTTTCCAAAATTAAACATTGTACTCTTCCTAATCCTATTATTTACAAAGATTTACTTAACAATAATAAACAAATATTTTTCCTATTACCTTCTAAGAGGACCTTATACTGACTAGTTGCAAATTGCATGAGTCACTAGTGCGTATTTGAACGTGTACAGATCCTTTGGCGTGTGGTGAAATTCTCCCCTCATTGCATTACACTAATAGCACAAATTGTTTCGAATCCGGGGTTTACTGAACACCACTTTTTCTTCAGTAGATCATGAATTGACTTTCGAACGATAAATAAACAATTCTTAAAGAATCGACTGCTGATTGGGTAATTCCATGGCTGTCGAAAAGTTTTATGGAAGACGCCTTCAAAGATTTAATTGTAGTGCATGTTTAAAAATGGGGAAATATAATTTTTTAGTTTTTCAGTATTAAGCAATTGATTTGATATGTCTGTGGACACTGTACAATCAGAATCAAATTAATGTATAACTAGTACATATGAAACATTTTCAGCATTGTAGCTCGTAGAATCAATCCACGTGCCCCATCTTGTTAATCCTTTTTTGTATTAGAAATCCACGCGTTAACTTTATCAACCTGAGATATAATCAATTCTGACACTCAACTCATGCACAGGGCAGGTTACAAGTGGTAATTTTGGATAAAACTCCCATGGGGCTTCCGTCCCCTTGCAATTTACGCCGTTGCATTAGTACCAGAAGGAAGACTATGATTAACTCCATCAGGCCACAAGAATGCTATTGTGTTGGTAACAGTTTTCCAATAGCTTGATGGTTGCATTTGGATAACACTTCACAACTTAACAAAAGAGACTTATCCTTTTAACCCCAAAAATTAAGACACGGTATTCGGTTCCGAAACTTCTTCCTATGAAATTGTCAAAATAGTCGGAAATCTGAAAAGAAATATTCGGACGATTTAAATGATTTTCGAGGTTATTAAAGATTTGTGCGCCTTCCACTATACATTCTTTAACTCAGATTTAATGCGCCGGAACTTTTCCAGATACTTTCAAAACAGATAAGATTAAGTCGCTTTTCAAAATCGGCAACAAAAATTAAATTCAAAATCATAGGCAAATTTCTCTTTTGCCAGTTTTTTTTCAATTTAGAGAGACTTTTTTACGTACGAACGGAAATCCTTCTCAATAAGCACGACGCGTTTTAAAATTGCCAACATGGATTTAAAAAATAAAAATCTACGGAAGCAACCGTACTTGCTTGTACTAATTTCTCACACAACATTACTCCTGGCCCATAAGATTATTTCCATGATTTACTTCAGATTTTCAGCCCAAAGAGATAATTTACAAACAACGGCGGAGGATCGCGTGCGACAAGCGGAGAAAGAAAATGTCAACGGCGCTTCCAGAGCTGGTCGATTAATTTTGTGGTGAAGGGTATCAAGGTCAAAGGAGACCCCTGAGAGATGTAAAGTGGATGCACGATATCGCCTACTCAACATATTTTCACAAACTTAACTTCTCTTGTCTTATCTTCGATACTTACGCTGAAAACCAACACACCAGAACCAGGGATTGCATCGCTAATTTATCCTTTTATTTGCAATAACGGTGGTATTTATGGACAGTTCCATTCCAACGCGATGCAATAGCTACATTTGAGAGAGGAGGCTAGAGAAAAAATGTGTCACAAAGCTAATTTGTTTGTCTGGGAGATTCCTTATTAAAAATATACAGTAAAAATGCAAAATTAAATAAACAAACTTCATAAAAAATGGAAAAATTCAGTAATATGTAAAAATAAAATTATTTTGGACAAAATAAGTAAATATGTGTTCTTTCGCACAAAATATGTAAAAATATGTACTAAAAAGTCATTGTGTTTGGCACTAACTGATTTGAAACGTGAAGATATCGTTGATTCGACTTGACAGTGTTACTTTAGGTAAATATGTTATTACATAATAATCCGGGCTCTACTAATCAGAAAACTGCGATGTCTCCAATTCTCTTAACCGTTAATTTACATAGTTAACGAATTCAGCTAGCGACGCCGGTTTCGCCGGTTCCGGTGCCCATGCCCTTTTATAATCCTCCCTTACATTTAAGAAAATTTATTTCACCTTTTTTCAGGGATGAAATGTTGCGCGTTGCCGTTAACATGGCGTGTCCTCTGCCGCAGGTGACCTGGCCAAATCGAAATGGAAGCACCTGCGCGACCACTTCCGCTGCGAGCTGAAGCGCTGCATCAAGAGCCGCCAAGGCAAGAACGGGCGCTACCGCTCCTCCTGGGTGTGGTTCTGGCCGCTGGTCTTCCTCAAGGAGCAGATGCTGCAGCCGCGCTACCGCGACGGCGGCGCCGGCGCCGGCGGGGGCGACGAATCAGCGGGCGACGACGACACCAACGCTCTCAGCGGCGGGGATGACACACTAGCGTCAGACGCCGGCGGCGCCACCATCAAGACGGAGCCCAACACCAGCCCCCGGGCTCCGTGCAAGCGCCGCCGCTCCGAAGGTCTGGATCGGGACTTCCTCGACCTGGATCGGAGGAACCTGCTCCTGGACGAGTCGTCCCTGCCCCCCGGCGCCGTCACCTACGACGACACCGAGCACTTCTTGCTGAGTCTGGCGCCGGCCGTGCGCACGCTGCCGCTGACCCGCCAGATGCTGGTGCGCCTCAAGATCCAGGAGCTGGTGTCCAACGAGGTGATCGCTTGCCAGGAGGCGGGAGGCTCCGCCGACGTGGAAGGGTTGGACGGGCCCAGCGTTGTGGAGACGTCTTTGGAGATCCCCGAGATCAGCCAGGGCTGGACGCCCGGCGGCGGCGGCGGCGGCGGTGGCGGCGGGGGTGACAGAGCAGAGGAGGGGCCAGCAGCGTGGGCGAGCGCCGCCAAATGAATGTGGCGACGCGCGGCGGGCGTGAGTGCGGGGGTGGGTGGGCGGAGTGGACGGTGTGGACGGGTTGGGCGGAGTGGGGACGAACGATACAGGTGGGATGAACGTGCAGCACAAAGTTGGACCATTGGACGTGACAGAGGAGGGGAGGCTTACGTCGGGTCGTACAGACGCTATAGACGAGAAGGCAGAGCTCGTCATGGGGGACAATTGCGGCGATCTGGACGAATTGGTGAATACCGATCGAGATGGCAACGAGAGGAATCTGCGGGTGTGGAGCGTGGTGGTCGCCCGGTCACCCAACGAACCGGATTGCGGGCTGTAGCACGGGCACTTCGATGGTCTCTATCTATATGACAGTGGAAGATGTTCCGGGCGAATATTCGCGGGATTAATGACAAAGCAAAAGCCACAAGTCATGATATTGAAATGGCTAAAGAACTATTTGTTCTGTGGGTATTATGGGCGAAACTCCAACTTTACAACGAGCACTTCTGTTTGAGGAGTTACATGGCAGCACACTCTTCGCAACCCAAGTCCACAGTTCCGCGGAGAGGAATGGTAGAAACGCAACGCTGTGCGTCATTTTTGTGAAATAGACTGTTTACTGGTGAGAGGAATTGAATTGCTTTGTATATTAAAGATAACGTTTCATTTTTCAGTGTGTTTGTATGATTTTTCACGACGCTACTTGTCTCAAAAACTCAATGGTTTATTTTCACTAAATAAAGAATACTGTTCTCAAAAACCATCAATATTATTGTTTCAACAGGCCTCCGTTTTAACACGGTTATGCTCAGAAAAAATTGTTGTCTGGTAGAAGAAGAATTACGATTCTACGCAGATGATTCTATTAACTACGAAAAATTAACTACGTTAACTTTTCTCGGAAATGATACCAATGATATTCTACCTTTGCTGATTGCTCACACGAATTTATCGATCGTCTCTTTCAAGGCTTATAAAATACTAGGATTGCTTCTGAATATTAACTCTAGATTGCAAAGGCGACCTATACCAAGCATTATTACAAAGGCGTGACAGATTACTTTGGGTAAAAATAAAGAAAAAAAACATTTTTACAATGGAAAACTAAATGCAATGAATTGAACCTGTATGATATTGAGTTGTAAAATATATTTTGAAGGCTTTTATACATACACCTAAACTGCTGACTCTCATTGCGGACACATGGTTGTTGAGTGAAATTAAAAGAAACATGACAAGAATTTTGTATTCATTATTTACAATATTAAGCAATACAGCGACAAAAATATCACTGATGTAACTGCAAAGGAGTAGTCTACTGGACGACACGTGTCAAAATGGCGTATATCGGAAATAGGCACGCGCGCAATGTTAGTATTGTGTATTTCAGGGGCTAAACACAAAAAAGGTATTGAATTGAAATGAATTGAATTGAATTTGCCTTATTTTTCGTGGCGAGACTCGGGTCATCAGGCCCACTCTTTCGTCTGACCTCGCAAATTTCGCTACGCTCCTTTCATCAACTAGCAGAGAAAGGAGGTATTTCTTGGGCGAAAAATAGGCGATTTTGAATTTAGCTCAGAGGCGTCATTTGGCTTGAAGATCTTTTACATGCAAGTAAATCTACTAACATGGGACAACCGGCTTTACTTCTCCTCCGAAGGAAGACGTACGAAGGATTTTTTCGTCCTTAAACCCCTTAAGGTACACCGTTATAGAAACGGGAACTAGTTGCGTTGCCTAACAGACGTCGTTGTATGATAGGGTTAATATTCCTGTATTGTGGAGAACAGTTATTGCGAAGAAGATATTTTCAATTACAATATTAACAAGTCTGGTATGTTCATTACAAAATTCTGGCCAAAATTCTGCTTACCTCTATCCTGTGCATGTAAAATAACTTCTAAAATAAGTAAATTTTCAAATACCTATATCCATTTAAAAAGTTAAACCTACGACGATGATGTAAAAAAAGGCTGTATGAATATTTTCTTTAATTTTTCTAATTCGCTGTAAACTTTCTATTATTTGATCTATTTTTTTAAAACTTGAGTGCACTTTTATGAAATGTGGGGAATTTGTGTTGTTTATAATAATATTTTTGTGTGTCAGTAAATCATCCTTTTGCAGTATTATTCAAGTGTTTGTTAATTTATACGACTATGTACGATTGATTCTTTAAATGTCGTATAAACTACGATTTAGATCATGATTCGTTTATGTACGAAGTCTTTATCCGTATGAAAACTCTGTCTCATTGATTGAATACATTTTAAATTTTGCTATTTATTGAACTGAGATGGTGCATTAAAATTCCCAACTTTTCTCTATATGTGGTCATTTTGTGCTTCAAAATAACACATAAAACAAAAGAACAATCACATTTAGTAAGCTGAAATTAAATACTTTGTTCCATCTTATCTTTGATACTCACATGTCACAAATTTCTATGCTAACACTTCGCCAAATTAATGTTTCCCAAATATGCAACGATTGTTGCAAAACAGATACATTGTTAGTAAGATCTTAAAATGTCTATTCGTCCTTTACCACTTGTGTACTTAATATATTATATGATGATATTTAATAGGAGCTTATTGACAGCGATCGTATTAAATTGATGACACCCCGTATGTGCGTACGCATAGTACGGCACAATAAGATGTCCATAAAATTAATTCTATGCTGACCTTTGTGTTTATAATGCACAAGTACAGCGCATGTTTTCGCCGAAATGAATGAATATGTAAATTCTGAATTCCATTACTGTATGAAAAAGATCAGCATATTCTTTAACAATCTAATTCGAATGGAATATTTTCTTACACATTAAAAATACCGCAGTAATATTTTATCTATTCAATTGACTTCCTCTGCAGAAGTAAAGAAAGGGAACGTCTGGCAGACGTGACGCCACTTTAAAATGAGAAAGAAATGCTGTGTAATGCTGTGTACAAATTATTAAGACTGTTAAAATATATATTTAATTACCATTAACTGTGTTTTTTATTTACTTTCCCGACCCTCGCTTCCTTAATTTTCTGTTCTCTCTAAGAACAAACAAGTTGTGTACGTTATTTATTTGAAAAGACATTCTCAGCAGCCAAAGTCGACAAAATGGAATAAAATCTTTGAGGTACGTCCAAAGCCCTATGTGCAGTGTGTATTTGTTCATGCACATCACGTGGAAACTTGGAAATAAAAGTCTCCGAAGGTAATAAAAACTCCTCAGCTTAGAACTTTCCAGAATATATGAAAGAGCCGTTTCCTGTCTGCATGAAAGTCCCCGCCCAGGAAACAACGCCTGCTGGTGAAATGGTGAACGGTGAATGAGAAAACGGCCAGCCTCGCGACTTAATACCCACGTTTGCTTCTGCTTTCAGAACGCCGCCATCTAGGTGATGACTATCTGTTCGCCAAACTGCCAGGGAGAAGCCGATGCGCTGCACTTCACTTCGCAGGTAGTCATCAAACTATCGACTTTTTCAGCTTAGAGTCGCATATCGAAATTACGATCGATACTCGTGCGATCGGAATTTGCACGGAGACGTTCACGTTTGAGAAATTGTTGGAGAAAATGTTTAGATAAGAATGATATAGAACGATATATAAATGTGAACAAAACAGAAACTTGATGTAAAGTTTTTGAATAATTTCATCCTCATATCCGCATCTTTTTGTGTTCTAAAAAGGCTTTGGCGATTCTATTGCACTTTCGACTATAAATGACTAGTTGAACTCGTGCGTAAATTCGATAGTTTGCAACTCATAGTTTTAAAAGTAAAATAACTTCATACAGTTAGCACATTTCTCGCGGGCAGTTACAGAACTGCGCGTTATTCAAAGCCGTTATCTTGTCTTAGAGAATTTTATTCAGAGGGAATCGAATTTTGAATGGTCAGAATTATTGAATGTAAATTGAAGAGTAGCTAAGTTTAAAGGAAAATGTTTTATGTTAACCCTTCTCTTACACAACCAATCAGTTTTTTCTTCCTTTTTACTTACTCACCGTCTTCAGTAACCGTCAGGTCAACTAATTCAACTGAGTTTGCTTGAGAAGCATGAAGATGCAAAGTACACCGAACATCTTTAATATTGATAAATATGCCACGTTCATTTTATATTTACTTCGAAATTATCAGTTTTACTTATAGAAAACGAATTTCAAAATATGTTCATATTAATTATTATAGTTTTCAAGAAGTCATCTCGTTGGAATCATGGTTTAGTTACACGACAATAGAATTATAAAACATTGCATAAAGGCGTGAGCTCTCACTTGGGTTATTTCATTTGGCATCTTCAGGTTCGGTAAGGGAAGTTATGGTCGGTGGGTTTCCGACATTCGACACTATTTATGGTGGAGCAATTGTCCATTAATATAACGCGTGTTTTTAGATAATCACGACACAGAAATACATTTACATTCTGTGACCTTCTTTTTGTACTTACCTTCCTGAACGGTCATCTGAAGCATGTTGGAAGTTACCGCTTCTCTTCAGAGACATATTTATTTTATTTTCGACCAACAATCATACATCGCTTGACGTACGTGAGCTACTGCGCGCTTTTGGACCTCACATGTATTTGGTCAAGATATGAAAAAATAAAGTTTGTAATGGGAAGATAACTAGCCATTAGTGAAACTGAATAAGATGTAATTGTTCAAATAAATACATTTCATAGACATAAAAAAATATTTAAAAGGATAAATGTGCCTAATGATACATTTAAAAAGTATAAATTCGTCTAAAATGTTTCTATTTCATAGTAGACAAAAGAGGAAAACGAAATAAAGTGTCATAGTGTTTTAATTTGATTACTTCGCGCCCAGTTTGCTAAAAGATTTTAAACAGTCCAATAGAGTAAAAAGGAATTTTTAATATTCAAAGTTTAGATATTACTGTTCAACTACGGTCCTATCAATTCTGTTCTAAATACAAGACGAGACTATTCAATTTTCCTTCATATCAAATAGAGTACTAGAATGAAATGGATATATTTGACCATCACTAATTTATATTCGTTTGCTTTTCGTTCCACACATC